CGTTCCTTCCTGATTGGGTTTTGGACAATCGAGCAAGTTTCATACCTGGGCACTCAATCACAGATACTATCGTGATTACTCAAGAAATAATTCATATCATGCAAAAGAAGAAAGATAAGCGAGGTTGGATGGCTCTCAAAATAGATTTGGAAAAAGTGTACGATAGATTGTAGTCACACTTCATAGATGGTACTCTCATTGACATTGGTATACTTGATTCTTTATGTCTCTTAATTATGCAATGCATTACTACCGTATCTTCTCAGGTTATTTGGAATGGGTTGATCATCGAGTGTTTCAGACCTTCCCGGGGAATTCGACAAAGAGATCCTTCATCCCCTTATATTTTGTTCTGTGCATGGAACGACTATCTCAGACAATTCAGAATACTATCAATCGGCGCAGCTGGAAACCCTTTAGAACTTCAGCAATGGGGCCTGCCATCTCCCACTTATTTATTTTATAGATAACATGATACTATTTGCAGAAGCGTCCACTGAGCAAATGGCATTTATCCGAGGTGTGTTGGATGATTTTTGTGAAGCCTCTGGTCATAAAGTTAGTTGCACTAAAACTACGATTTTCTACTCCAAAAATGTTCCTACTGATAAGAGAAAATATCAGCGGTGGGTTTAGATACTCTGAGGTAGATGACTTAGATAAATACCTTGGTGTCCCGTTACTTCACTGTAGGGTAACGACAAAATATCAGTGGATTTGAATGACGTCCGGAGCAATATCATTTAATCAATTGGGTCTGGGAAGGAAATTGATTTCTGGCGGGACTCTTAGCTTCGGGATATTGAGCCTCTAATCAATTATGTTGCTGCTGAGAATATGTCCTAAATCTTTAATGTTCCGAATAAATTGGAGGACTTCATGACCCTTGATATAACGAGTCGGATTACTATTAATTAGCAGAATGGATCATCATTTGCTAAAAATGCGAAAGAGTGGAATTTGATGCTTACTGCAATCATTTGGAATCTCTAAACCTCTCGGAATGCTAAGGTCTTCAGCTCTCCAATGGATGGTGAAGATTCGGTTATTGTTGGAAGTGCCCGTCTTGTTGAGATGATGGAACATAACAGGTTGAAGGGTACAACAACCTCAGTTAACTTACTTTTTACGAACTAATAATTTAGTTGGATATAAATTAAAGATTAAGCATTTATTTGAGTTAGAAATTTATTTGAACGTAGAAAGAAACTTATTTAAATAAAATGAAGAAATCCAATAACTTATATTTAATCATGTGCTTAATTTAATGTAAATTGAAATCTGAACATGAGAACATAAAGTAATTCATTGCAAGAGTTCACCACTGAGTCATGACAACCGAGTGGCCAGTGTTTCTGAGTTTACTTTCCAAAAATAATGATAAATGATATTGACAATAATACCCATAAGCAAATCCATCCAAACCAACGGGGAATGTCTCAGGAAAGGCGGGTTAATATACGGCTAATATACAGCATTACCGGATACATTAAAATGTATTTAATAAATTCGGTTTAGCGGTACCTATTATGTTGACAACTAATAATGTTTTAGGTAGAAAATATGAAAAACTATTAAAAAATTTGGTAACCGGTAAACTTTGGTTATCGGTAAGTATCTATCCTTTTTATAAAAGTGTCCATACGTTTAACATATCAAGTAAATTTTACCGGTTTTGTCATAATGAATCTGGTTTTGTCTTATTTTTACCTGTTATATTGTAAATTATCTATCCTTTTTATAAAAGTATCCATACTTATTTCACTGTGAAAATATATTTATTATTATCTTTAGTTAATATTGTTAAATTTAAAATCTAAATAATATTTTATAAAATATCAAAACAATCAAATAATTTTTTGTGTAAATGAAATTATTAAATTAATATTGTAGGTGGAAAACATGAAACACTATTAAAAAAATTGAAACATAAATTACATAACTTTCAAAAAAGTATATATCATTTTTATAAAAGTGTCCATACTTATTTCACTGTTGAAAACATATTTATTATATATTTGGTTAATATTTAAATTTAAATTCTAAATAATATTTTATAAAATATCAAAACAATCAAATAAAATTTTGGTAAATTAAATTATTAAATTAATATTGTAGGTGGAAAACATGAACACTATTAAATAAATTGAAACATAAATTACATAACTTTAAAAGCAGTTTTAAATCCTAAAAAGTGTCGATACTTTTAAAAAATATATCGATCCAAAAGATATACCAGGTAAAAATATGATAAAACCGGTAACAAAATGATAAAACCGGTAAATTTAAAAGTGTCGATACGTTATATAAGGATCGACACTTTGTGAATTTAAAAGAGAAGCAGTTATAGCGCCTATAATGTGTCGATACTTTAAAAAATATATCGATCCACAACGATATAACAGGTAAAAATATGATAAAACCGGTAATAAATGATAAAACCGGTAAAATGATACCGGATATATTGAAAGTGTCGACACTTTCGTAAGTACGTGTAATAAATTATCGACACTTTCAAAGAAATAGGTAATTATCCTTTCGAAAGTATCGACACCTGACATAAAAGTATCGACACTTTTGTATTTGTATCGATTAAATATAAATAACATATCCGATGAAAATATAAAGGCCATAGCTAAATATCCTCTGAAAAAAGATAGAACGGACGAGTTTTTGAAATCGAAGAGTAATTGTTGCTGCATTTCAGAAGGCGTTTCTAAAGCGAAGTTTGTTTGTTTGTTGCTGCAGTCGAATCGAAAAGTATGTTGTCGAAACCCTAATTTTTTATTATTACAGTAATCGCGATAGGGTTTTTTATGTGTTGTTTGGGGTTTTGGAGTAAGGAAGCATTTGGGACCGATTGCAGGTAGAAATAGATATTCAAGGAAAAATATAAATGTCGATACTTTTATTAAATATTATAGGTAGAAAATGATATTATAGGTTGTATAAATGTGCCGACACATTTTGGTGTGGCCATTCAAATTCTTTTGAAGAAAACCGTTTTACCACAAGAGTAGTTATCTATTTGTATATTGAAAAGTGTATGTAACAAATAATTTGATTTGCGTAAACTGATATATGAAGGAAAAATGGAGTCAATGGGTTGGAAAATTGTTGGTGGAGCAGATGACTTTGAAATTGAGGCCGAGACTCGAAAGCAACCAAAGGGTGGATATATGTACTTCTAGTAAGTATCAATGTCTTTTTGTTATTATTGTTGAAATGGTAATTGGATTAAAGTATCGATAAACTTTAAATTGATTACAAATTTTAAATGTTAACAGTATGGCCGAATGCAAAAGGATGAAGGGAGATGGCACACAGAGCGGTTCGGTATGTAAATGAAATTGACATTGAGTAGTATTAGTATTTAGTGTTAATGTATTGATTAAGAAACGTTTATGTTTAATATTAGGTGAAAAAAGATGTGAGGTCCAAATGGAATTCAATGAGTGATGCTGAAAAGGAACCTTACATCACACAGTCAAGGAATGATAGTAAAGAATACAAAGAACGGAGGAAAGCACATGAAAATAAGGTATTCATTAAACTTGTAAATACGTTGATACAAAATATATAAGAACTATAACATTATATATTGTTAAAAAATGTAGGAAGTTTCGACAAGGTGCAGCATTAAAAGGGTGAATTTATTAATTAAACACCTTAAGGAGAAGGGTCAGTTGAATGTGCTGGGAGAAATAGGTTTTGGATCGTTGATCGGAGTAAGGGATCGACCTATTCGGAGGGAATTGTGTCGATCCTTGATGGCACAATTTGACGTCAGTCAATGTATGGCTAAGTATGGTGATTATTCATTCCCTCTGGGGGTATCGACTGCTGCAGCCGTATTGGGGGTACAAACAAAGGCAAAAGTGTTATAGAAGTCTGTAGGAGTAAGAACTGGAAAGCACTTGCCTCCAAATATGGTTTGAATCATAAGGTGACATATACTGAAGTTGAAGAGGATATCAAAAGTGGATCTTACTTGGGGGATGAGCTGAAGGCCCGAGTTCTATTGTACCTTGTCGGTATATTTCTTTGTCCAACGGGTGATACGTCAACGAACAAGGAATATATGAAGCTCTTTGCGATGAAGGCTTGAAGGGTGAATTCAATTGGGCTGAATATATCCATTCGAGATTGATTGAATCAATTATCACCTTTAAAAAGGGCAGCCAGAGATACCTCAAAGGGTGCATAGCAATCTTAGAGGTAAATGAGTTGAATCACTTTTTGTGTTTTTATATAAAATTCTAATTTTATTATAAATGCAGGTTGCACTGTTCGATTTTTGGTCGGGCTGTGAGGCAGTGCCGGCTTATGAAAGAACCGGAGTGGCACGCATCCGTGCATGGGGGAAGGAAGAGGTGGTTAGAGTGATGGTGAAGTTGAAGTTGGATAGAGGGAAGAAGCAAGAAATGGTAATAAATGTAATTAAATAATATTAAGAATATAATCAATGTCTTAATATTGTAATTTAATTTTTTGAAGGTTATTGGCAAGGATGTAGAGGAGGCAGTGGAGGCAGAGGAGAAGAAAGGAGGGATGGTTGTATTGGGGGATGAAGGTGAGTGGGACGACGGTGAAGCAAAACAGAGTAACTTCGACATTTTGATGTCTGAATTGGCTGATATCAAAAAAATCCAATTTGAAATCATGCAAAGACAATCAAGAGTCGAAGAGAAACTTGATCAAGTCGTAGAGAAACTCGAGAGGCATAAGGGGGTAGTGGAAGGAAAAATAGAAGGAGTGGTGAAAGAAGTAGAGGTGTTGAGGGGTGAAGTGGTGAAAGAAGTTTCGGTGTTAAGGGGTGATATTAAGATGGTGACGGGAGAAAAATTTGAGGGAGTGGTGAAGGAGGTTGTTGATTTGAGGAGTGAACTTACGGGGGTGAAGGGGGTGGTTGATAAATACTCGGATGAAGGAGCTCAATTGAAGGGTGAAATAAAAGATATGAAGAGCTATGTAGAAAAAAAGTACGATGAACTGAAAAAATATGAAGAAGAAAAGAGGGAGGAGGAAGAAGAAGAGATGGAAGAAATGAGGAGGAAGGAGAGGCCCAATGTGCTTTATACACCGGAGAGTGTCATAGCAGCAGTTTTGGATTCGGAATGTCCTGCACCCCAGAAGAAGAAGCAGAAGGTAAGTTTAATAAAAGAATACTTAATTTGATTTTTATTATGTTGTTGTGACAAAAATTTGTATGCAAAATTGTAGGTTGAAAAAGCGGACATTCCAACCGGAATTGATGACATCGAAGCTGCAATTTGTGATTATTTATGGAATAGCGAGTTAGAATCGGGGTAAGTGAAATATATTGTTTTGTGAGTGATATTTAATATTTCATGACAAGATATTAATCCTAATGATTCATACAGATATTCTGTAATATTAATGGGAAATCAATTCGCTACTGTATACGACGTTGCAACGTTGAAGCCTACAGAATGGGTTGGCGGTGTGGTAAGTAGAAAGTAGAAAATAAATAAAACTTATTGAATATGTTCTGATTGTGTAATTAATTTTGTTAGGTTATCGATTTGCTCGCCTGGACCATATGCTACGATTCTCAAAAGTCACACCGGAGGATTGGCTACCTTCCATACCTCTTAGTGGTGAGTTAAATTAATAAATATTGAAAAGTAGTGTTATAGACGGTAAATTAATAATGTTTGTTGCGTAATTACAGCAACAGGCGTTGGAAGCCAACAATAAAGAAAGTGTTGAGAATATTTCTACCTTCTGGGGTGTCATATTGGATAACTATGTGAAATTCACCGACTGTGAGAAGGTAAGACACCATACCAATTGCAAATGATGTTTCGGATATAGAATGTTGAATTTTGTCAAATTGGGTGTGAAATTTGTTGCAGATAATGATCACAATAAACTACCATAATTCACACTGGTATCTGTTGGTGTTGGATATGGTAGATCATGTTGTAACAATATATGATAGTATGTTTACAACTGAAGCAGCTAAACAGAGAGTGAAGGATGCTAAGAGATTGGTATGTATGTATGTATGAAAGGACATTATGTAAATTATAATGCATAATTTTTTTGGTGCATAACTTCTTCTATTTTAATGCAGATTAAAATATTAGATTCTTATAATAAGAAACGCATTTGGGTTGAGTCATGTGGATCTCTAGGAAAGTATCCCTTGAAAAACTTCAAATTTGTGGAGCATAAGAAGAATAAGCAATTGAATGGGTATGAGATGTTATCACAAATAGAAAGCTTAATTTATGCAGTATTCATCATAATTGACATGTGTGGTTTTCAAATTTTGTAACAGATATGATTGCGGCATGTATGTGATGATGTGGATGGAATCGATCGGTTCTACAGGGGCAACTGGTGATTTTGTAAGTGGATAGAAAAAATTGTTTGTGGTAAAATTGTTAAAAGTCGTAGATTGAATGCTGTAGTTGACAATACTTAACGTTCTGACAATTTGAATATAGGTTGTTGGAGACTGGGATCGATCGCGAGTATTAAATGATCTCGTAAGCCACAATCAAAATGAACGAAGACAGGAGATAACAAAAGCTGCAATATTACATAAGAATAACAAAAGGATGCAATGATGTAAATGTCGAGTTAATTTTGTATAAGATTTATAATTTTGTATACGATTTATATTTTTTTATGTGAATATAATTATGAATGAGATGAGAAAAGTTAGCAGTATGTTGTTGTACATGTTTATTATACACATTAAGGGTCATGTCGATACTAATATAGTTTGTGTCGATATTTTTTTTTCCAGAATGAATTAAAAACAAGGTGCATCAATAAAGTGTCGATCCATATATAAAAAGTGTCGATCCCAAAATCATCGAACCCAAAAGTATAATGTAATATGTAATTTTTTAATCTAACCGGTACAATTATACCGGTTTTATGAGAGAATAAGTCTAAATAATGTGTCGACACTAATATAGTCTGTGTCGATATTTTTTTCCCAGAATGAATTAAAAACAAGGTGCACCCATAAAGTGTCGATCCATATATAAAAAAGTGTCGATCCCAAAATCATCGAACCCAAAAGTATAATGTAATATGTAATTTTTTAATCTAACCGGTACAATTATACCGGTTTTATGAGAGAATAAGTCTAAATAATGTGTCGACACTAATATAGTTTGTGTCGATATTTGTTTTCCAGAATGAATTAAAAACAAGGTGCATCAATAAAGTGTCGATCCATATATAAAAAGTGTCGATCCCAAAATCATCGAACCCAAAAGAATAATGTAATATGTAATTTTTCAATCTAACCGGTACAATTATACCGGTTTTATGAGAGAATAAGTCTAAATAATGTGTCGACACTAATATAGTCTGTGTCGATATTTTTTTCCCAGAATGAATTAAAAACAAGGTGCACCCATAAAGTGTCGATCCATATATAAAAAAGTGTCGATCCCAAAATCATCGAACCCAAAAGTATAATGTAATATGTAATTTTTTAATCTAACCGGTACAATTATACCGGTTTTATGAGAGAATAAGTCTAAATAATGTGTCGACACTAATATAGTTTGTGTCGATATTTTTTTCCAGAATGAATTAAAAACAAGGTGCATCAATAAAGTGTCGATCCATATAAAAAGTGTCGATCCCAAATCATCAAACCCAAAAGAATAATGTAATATGTAATTTTTCAATCTAACCGGTACAATTATACCGGTTTTATGAGAGAATAAGTCTAAATAATGTGTCGACACTAATATAGTCTGTGTCGATATTTTTTTCCCAGAATGAATTAAAAACAAGGTGCACCCATAAAGTGTCGATCCATATATAAAAAAGTGTCGATCCCAAAATCATCGAACCCAAAGTATAATGTAATATGTAATTTTTTAATCTAACCGGTACAATTATACCGGTTTTATGAGAGAATAAGTCTAAATAATGTGTCGACACTAATATAGTTTGTGTCGATTTTTTTTACAGAATGAATTAAAAACAAGGTGCATCAATAAAGTGTCGATCCATATATAAAAAGTGTCGATCCCAAAATCATCGAACCCAAAAGAATAATGTAATATGTAATTTTTCAATCTAACCGGTACAATTATACCGGTTTTATGAGAGAATAAGTCTAAATAATGTGTCGACACTAATATAGTTTGTGTCGATATTTTTTTCCCAGAATGAATTAAAAACAAGGTGCACCCATAAAGTGTCGATCCATATAAAAAAGTGTCGATCCCAAAATCATCGAACCCAAAAGTATAATGTAATATGTAATTTTTAATCTAACCGGTACAATTATACCGGTTTTATGAGAGAATAAGTCTAAATAATGTGTCGACACTAATATAGTTTGTGTCGATATTTTTTTACAGAATGAATTAAAAACAAGGTGCATCAATAAAGTGTCGATCCATATATAAAAAGTGTCGATCCCAAAATCATCGAACCCAAAAGTATAATGTAATATGTAATTTTTTAATCTAACCGGTACAATTATACCGGTTTTATGAGAGAATAAGTCTAAATAATGTGTCGACACTAATATAGTTTGTGTCGATACTAATTTAAATATCAAGTGTTTTCCACCGTTTATATAGTACTCTTAATCGAGAAACCCTAAACATAAATGCAAGCAGGCAGATCTTCCTCTCCTCTTTCTTCCTTCTACCGTTATCATAAGTGACGATCAGATATTCAGGTAAATTTATCGATATTTTATGGGTTTGATTGATTTCTATATTGTAGTTTTATCCTGAATGTGTTTGTGTTCCATTGTAATAGGGGTAGCATCCAACCAAAATGGCTCCAAAACGTCAGCGTCAGAAGCGAGGTCTTTCTCAAAGCTCTTCTCAACCCAGTTCTTCTCAACCACCTCCTTCTGTAACAAACGATTCTTCTGAGGAAATCAGGTCCTTCGAAACTCTGAACTTTAGATCCGACATGGAGAAACAAAGATGGCAGACGAGTTTTAAAGTAAGGAAGATTCGTCCCGAACGTGTCATTGACCTGGGTTTCTTGTTTGATGATAAATATGCATTTAGTTTTAAATCCACATTTACATCTTGGGGTTGGCTTGAATTCCTTGGTGTAGAACCAAGATATTATCCCAACCTAGTTAGAGTCTTCTACAACAATGCTTCCTTACAGCACGAGCCTAATAAGACTAAATAATAGGAATTAATACACATGTCATGGGGAAGGATATATATATATCTCCAGAAACTATTGCGGAGGGTTTAGGTGTAGCGAATACAGGGGATTCAGATGAAAATGGTGTAGATTGGTCTACAATTAAACGGGTTACTAGAAATAGCCCAATTCACCTCGATGTAGAGTCGAGAGTGTTTCACAAAATGCTCACATGGTATATCCGGCCTAGTGGGGGAAAACATTCAACGCTTCGAGACAGCGATTATTGGTGGATAGCAAAGTATAAATCCAAAACGGCTCCAAACATTGCAAAACTCATATTTAATACAATTGTATATATGGTCACAAAGGGAGCAACAATTTCAACTACACTACCATATGGATGTGTCATCACCCATCTGTTGAAGAAGAAGGAAGTTGATTTTTCGCATGACGCCCCTGTTCGATTAACCCGCAAGATTGACATGGTATTTATTAAAAAAGCGGGATATGATTTTGTTGAAAAACTCGGTTGGAAGCGTGTCAAGGAGGTCGGATTAGATCAAGAGAGGGAGGAAATGGACCCCGTTGGCCATGAAGAAGAGCAACCAAGTGGAGACGCAATGATGGAAGAAGCAACAGTTGCAGGGGATGTCACAATTAAGACCGTGATGGAATACATGGTCAATTTTCGGGAGCATATTGATTCCCTTGTGAGTGGAATGCGATCCGATATTTCATCATTGCAACGTGAAGTCTCCATGTTGCGTAACGAATTACGTCAACGACATCAAACGAGTTAGGTAATTCATTATCTATGTTTCTTAACATTTACACGTTCTGAACTTTATTTTATTTTCTTTTAACAGATGTGGACAACCAATCGGTCGCAGAAGAT